CTTTCCCTTGTGTCTGCACTTTTTATTCAGAACCAAGGAGTTGAGTTGAATAAAGATGAGAAAAATAAATTGGAAAAAAGTAAGTTAGAAAAATTACTGGCTACACAAGGTGGACATGGGTGGTACAGTAGAAGGACTCCTTTACAATGTGATTCAGAAATTATTAACAATTGAGTCAGTTTAGGAGAATGAATGTAGAAGTAGATACATATGATTTTTACCAAATTAATATAGAAGTATTTAAAGAGAAAAAAACAACATGAACAATAAATGTCTCAAGAATATAAAAAGAACTCCTTTAAGAAAAAAGAAAAACAGATCTTGAAAGATAAATAGATAAGACTTAGGCCACATTGTGTGAAAATGGTGCTCAGATTCTAGTCCTTAGGAAAATATAAGTTAATATAACATAACTTTCTTCATACATGCTAGAATGGCTGAATTGGAAAGAAAATACCAACTGTTGGTGAGTTTTTTGAGCAACTGAAACTTAAAAAACATTTTTGGTGTGCTGCAGTCCGGCTGGGTCAAATCACTGGGGATGACAAGCAACTTGAAGGTTGAAACGGGAACTACTTTATTGCAAGTGAATTCAGCACGAACTGAGCAAGAACTCAAAAGTAGCAGGCATCCAAGGTAGCAGGGGCCACTTCTCTGTGGGACAGCAGAGGTGCATATACCCAACTAATTACACACAGCTTAATTCAATTAACATCATCTAGATACAGCAGTCAGTCAATAAGGAATCATCATCTTTATGGCTCGCTGGCATTACTTCACAAACCACTCCTCCTGGCAAACTGCCAGGCGCCATCTTGACTTGATTTGCATCCTCAACATCTCCTCCCTTTTGTTTTATTAAACAACAAGTATGTGGCTTAGGGACCGTGCCTGTTTTAGGTTTTCCAATACTACATATGGTCCTTACCTGTCATTGGATGGTCTGACCTCAAATCGTCAGCCTCCTGTCTTAGGTTGGTACCATTGTAATTGGATCTTACCTGTCTTCGACTACCGGCCCAACACACTTAGCCATACTTGTGGATAACGACCAAAGTGGTTTTTACACAAACACCATAAACTATCTGCCACAAGCAGAAGGGAGGAGGATACAAAATGCCATAATATCAAGCCATTGAATGCTCCAAATGAGAAACCCCTGGAAAAACTGTACCACAGATGACACCTGGTACTAATTACAATTTGTTATATCAGTTCTTAATGCATATAAGTGACACACAGTCCAGGTAAGTTCTGCAAGCAGCTTAAAGCAGAGGAATCCATTAATATGTCTATTTCTTCTTGAAGTAAATATTAATACAACAGTTTATACAATTTGTGTGATAGCTGTCGCAGACCCTGTAGTAGCAGCAGCAGAAACAGCAACAGCTGTGATGATGGTAGCTGTAATTCCAAAGTCTCCTTTGGTTTTTCAGTAATACTGGAAATTCTTCTATTTTTGTCTTAAAGTAGGAATTCTGGCAATAATGGCTAAAGAAAATTGTGCAGCATTCCAGCAGGCACTAAGAAAACAATTTTCTGAACAATTTAGTACATTATTCTGAACAGAATTATTAAATACAATGAAAAGGAAAGGTGAACGTAAACAGATTTGTTAACCTTTTTTTGTTCACATATTAAAACAATACCCAATTTAAATTAAACTGTTTAAATCATGTGAATAAAAGATATTTGGATCCATTTTTTCATGAGTGCTGTTGATATATGGACATATGCACATACAGACATACAACACGTAACACAAGTGTGCACACATAACACAATAGTAAAGGCCTTGTAGCTTTTCACAGGTGAAATCTCCATTGCAATGTTTAAAAACTCCACAGTTGATTAAAAAATAAAACTAATCAGAAAAACATTATCCCAGATCTGTATGAGCTCAAAAAAAAGAATAGAAAAATTCTTCTTGTAACTTGCATATGGGTTTGAAGGTATTCCCACAAGTAAACCTCAAGGTTTTTTGCATTTGAAATAGGCCTTAATGGTGCTTATTATTCATTAGTCTCCAGGTGTGGGGGAACCGTTGTCGCAAATGTAAGGATAACTAAACTGGAGTTCTGGATATCAGCTGTTATGGATTTTGAGCCGAATCATCTTCTTTTGGTCTGTAAATATCGCTTTAGTTAGTCTCTCTGGAATCCAAATCAGCTGCTGTTCTCCCTGTGGAAACACACAAACAGACCCCTGACTCCAGACAATCACTGGGTCAGGACCTTTCCATTGTCCAGTTAGAATATCCTTCCAAAGTACCTTTGGCTTATGTACAGTTTTTTGGACACATGTGCTTTTCTGCAAACTAAGTCCTGATGAATCCAAATTTAAAAAGTTTAACGTAAAAAGGGTTATGTTAAGTTTATCTTTGGGGGATTTATATCCCTTCCCTATTCCCTCTTTTTGTTTTAATAAGTACATTTTAATAGTTTGATGAGCTGTTTCAACTATGCCTTGTCCCTGTGGATTATACGGGATTCCTGTTATGTGAGTAATGCCAAATGATGAGCAAAATTGCTTGAAAGAAGTAGAAGTATAGCCAGGGCCATTATCTGTTTTTAACTGTTTTGGAATGCCCACAGTGGCAAAATTTTGTAAACAATGAGAAATAATATCTTTAGTTTTTTCTCTGGTATGAAGGGAGCCCATTAAATATCCGGAAGAAGTATCAACCATAACATGCAAATATTTTAATTTTCCAAATTCTGGCAAATGTGTGATGTCCATCTACCACATATGATTAGATATTAGTCCTCTCGGATTAATTTCAAGATTAACTTGTGGTAAAAAGGTCACACAATTTTGACATTGTTTTATTATATGTCTAGCCTGTTCCTTAGTTATTCTAAAATGCTTTTGCAAGGTATTAGCATTGACATGGAAGGATTTGTGAAAATTTGTAGCTTCTTCTAGTATAGAAAAAATATGTATGTCATATGTGGTTTTATCTGCTAAATCATTGCCCAAACTAAGGGCTCCAGGCAATCCTGCATGTGCCCTGATATGTCCTATACAGAATGGATCT